TTAATTATTAAAAATATATCATTTGTATGGTACGGGATACTATTTAGTTAATTTTCCTTTTTTTTTAAATTCAGTAAGATAATCAGTCTGATTTGATAATCTCACCAACATAAAAGCAAGATTACATTATATATTTAGTAAGTATGACGTTTATACGATTATGACCCTAGTTTGATCATTTTTATTATTATAACAGAATTGTTTAATCTAGTTTACAATAATTTTATATTATGCAATATTCTTATTATCTAACTATTATCCCATGCAAAAGGGGCCGTACAACAATTTTTTTCTCTTCACGAGTCTTTATCTGGCAAAAGGTTCACTTTGGACTATAACCTTATAATGTATATATTGATTTATGTGGAAACTTGAAAATTAAATATGTGTTTTGTTCTAGTTATTTATGTGAGGTATTTAAACTACAAGTGTCATATGTTCCGTTTTCCTTGCTTTAATATATCCTTAAGGTACCAAATTTTGTTAATAATATATCTTCTAAAAGACAAGATTGAAGACAAAGCGCATAAGCTTCTACCTGTATTCTTTAACTACAGAATACATATGTAAGATGTGGTAAAACTAATTTATACTTGACAGCCAAATTTTGAAATCGTCAACTAATTTAGGTAAAAAGTAAAAAAAATGTTTTATTTAAATATTAATATAAACAATTTGTGGGAAATTTCAATAAAATTATTATTATTTTATACCAAATAATATTAAATTATAACATATACTTATAAGTTATGTATATACACTTATATAATGTAATTTTTTATGAATTTTACATTATATAATTTTACGTGTATAGTGAATACGATTAATTCGAGAATTGATAAATATCTAACTACAATTTTCAATAAAGATAAGAACCTAACTAAAGGCAATGTTTTTGATATTAAAATACGAAATTTCTCTTGGCGGGTTTTTGGTAAAATCGATGTTGGTACTATCTGTAGTATTACACATTTTATAGGTTATATAACATTTATTTATTATCACGCGTTATCATTTTTTGGAAGAACTACCCCCAACTCCAATAAGACCATCCGGTGAACGTCAAATTTTATTTTTATTACCAAGAAAATATACAATCGACAAAATTTTATTTTGAAGAGCTAGCCTAAACAAAATCTTCGCTGGACGGATTACAACGGCGTTACATAACTTTTTTCAGCGCGTAAAATATGTGTTAGAAGATGCAAGTTCCTCGTGAACTGAGCAGTTTTAGCGCATACTTACCTATGAACCAAAATGCAAGATTAAGAGTTTGTATATAGATTAATGTAGGTTTTTTTTCGATAATAATACTAGGGACCAAGTTATTGATCATGGGCTTTTTTTTCAAACTCGTATATCATTTTCGTTACAAAACATATGCTAATGTGTAGATAAACTCTTACTCTTTACTTTTAACATAGGTAAGTACTTGCTAAATATGCTCAGTTCGCCAGAAACTAACATCACCTAATACAGATTTAGTTCTTACTGAATCATAAAGATCGTAAAGATAAATCATGAAGATCGGAGTACTTTTTCTACTACTTGTAGTGTAGGTATAAATACAAAGAAGTAAAGACACATCAACGTAAATCAAACCACCACAATCAAAGTTACGCGATTTTTTTATTCGAATAAAACGTTATTTGAATAAACATTTCACAGTTTATTAAAATAATGTTTTTTGATTCATTCGAATAAAAGAAATATTTATACAAAAAATTGGCTTCCTATATTTACTGGTTTTACATATTTTCTAAATGTAGTATATATTAGATTTATACGAAATCATATTTTCAAATATAGTTACTTAAAACTATTTAAAATCTATTTATTTAAATTATTTTAATCATTTTAAATATTTTATTCGACCCATTCAAATATTATTTTCATATTACATACAATGTAGCGTATTACACACAAAAATAGACTCTGTAATATTTATTATTTCACTAGACTGACAATTATACTGAATAAATGATAATGAAACTTTTATATTCGTACATACATATATATTTTCAAAAACAAATTTATATATAAAAAAAATAAACCTCCTGAAATAAATTTAAACTAGGAACATCTATTTGGAATTTTTTATTTACTGTACGTAGGTATTCTCAGTATTTTAATTTGAACGTTTTATAAATTTGTTTTTATTATTAATCTGTCCATTTGGTTTTAAACCCTGCTTGTAACTATCGATACACTAACATTGGAATATTTTTAAATTTAGGCAACACGAAAAAACCAACTTTTTAGACTCAACTTTAGTGTTTTTCTATAACAAAAAAAAATCAAAATTGTTTTTCAGAAAGCAAAAAGAAAGAAGATCATTTTATGTATGACACTGATTTTTAATCTTTTTTTGATGGCCGAAGATACTTTAATTTTTCATATTATTTTTTATTTTTTAATTAGTTTTGTTAACTGTTGGCACACGATACCGCTGAACCAATTTCTTCGAGTATGCAACTGTATAGATTATAAATCGTACCTGAAATATACTTTATTGGACCAAAACTTAAAAAAGTCTTTCCTTCTTTTTCAAAATCGAGAAAAATACCAAAAAATTGTACACATTTTTCAACTTATAATTACGATGCTTCATAACTTTTTTAAAAATAGTAGAATTACTTCCAAATTTATATTGATTATTTTTATTAGTGAATACGGAATGTACGAATACTTCCACTTTATCCATTTATAAAATATTATTTAAATTAATTTTACTTAATTATAAATAAAATCACAGAAAAATATAGTAACATGTAATGTCAAACCTTTGATCATTACTGCTTTCTTGCTACTCATTTTCACAAGACTCGCTCTGCGACGTCGAAGCATCAGAATTTTTCTATGTACGTACGAATTTAAAAATAGTAAGAAATAATCGTAATTGATACTTATTTTGACTTATTGAGTTTTTATAATTTTTCCATTTGAGGAGTGATTTAATATTTTATTTGTTTTTTCTTATTTTTGATAATCGCTTCTTTTTAGGAAAACTTTCCATTTTAATTTGTATTAACCTTATATAAAACCAGCACAGTGTGTAAACACAGGTAAATGCATGACGTGCAGCAAAGTACTATAGCTTGTTTGTACTATTATTTGTACTATTTCATTAGACTTATTGTACATATAAGTACGAATACCGAGTATTTCTATTTACACTCTTCCGGACTTTTTGGACATCTATCATTAATATCATATATGGTATATCGATAACTATGGCCCAGTCAATAACTTGAAAGGTATTAAACGGGTCAAACAAGTTTATCAAATAAGGGATAAGTAATCTGAAAACAGATTTGAATTCTTCATGAAGTTTACTTGAGATCGATCAGCGTACATTTTTGATATCTTATTCCTACTACGCATAAAACACGTTTGAACATTTTATCAAATTTGGAAAGGGTTAAACTTAAAAATTGAAAAAAGTGATCTCAAGTAAACATCATGACGACTTCATATCTGGTTTTAGATTGATTATCGGATCACTGGTTCAGTCTGTGCGATGGACCAAAAATTATGTGTTTTGGCTAAAAAACGGTCGGTATCCAGGAGCCTTAAACTGAACTTTTTAAAGTTTTGAACACAAGAACTGGCACCGCCTAAACGCGTATGGTTAAACGATTCCTGTTTTCATATACGTCAAGAGTGCCTGACTCATATAAAAAAAAACCAGTCATTTTCTTAACGAATAAATGCACAAAAATCCCAATTGCAGATTCCCGAGAGGTAGATTAATGAGTTCTTACTTATTTGAAATACGTTTTTATTCAGTTAATAAAAAAAAAAAAATTTTTTTTTATTTAGTTTACAAATAAAGTCGCGCATTTGTAGCTACTAATTGGTATTCAATACACATTTTTTGTTTTTCAATATGTATACTTTACCAATTGAAGGACACAGGGAAAAACGGTAATAGTCACAATATAAACATTTTTTTTTTAAATAGTTTTTTTCAATTTATGCCAATAATTTTTTTTACTTATGTCAAAAGATTATTTAAGTAAATACATTTATCATTAGAGTGGCATTTAATGTGATTTTTTTGTTTTCATGTAAGAGGTAGAGCAATTCACGAACTTTGTTTTTGCTATACTCTAAAATTTTCATAATGTCACAACTACCGTTTTTACCCTGTGCCCTTCAATTATAATTTACAACGAGTACAACACGGTTATCTATATAGGGTAGACAAATTCAAAGTATAATTAATTAAATATTGTTGTGGTTATTTTACCTATTAGTAAATTCAACATTTTAATACTCATATGAAGGATGGCTTTATTTTTGCAATCTATTCTAGGTCGTGGTATAACTTAGCAAATAAAAAATATTGTTCCAATTGTTTTTCTTTTCCTGGGCGAAGCCGGGTACACAGGCGGTTTGTTAATACGGAAGACGGTTATTTACTAGAAATTCAAAGCATACAAAACAAACAAAATATCGATAGAAATCATACAGTATTTTTGCCGGAAAATATCCGGGTAACTATCAATAGACATAATAGACACACACATTATTTACTATGCATGCAAGCGCAAAACAACAGAAGATATTAGTTTGAGGCCTAAAATAATAATGTTATTGGAAAACTTGTTTTGAAAAGACTATGTGCATATTATACAGTTAATCTTGAATAAGACATGAGGGATTTAACTGTACGATAGGGTACCCCATTTGGCATTAATTTGTTTTTAAAAAAATGCAAAATTTGAATATAAGATGGCAAGAAGTTCACTAAATATATTATGTCGCGCCTATATAATTTTGTCAGGTATTACCAGGAAGCCATACTTTCACATTTGTGCATTATGACCTCAATACTTTTATTTGATAAAAACAGTGTAAATAGACTTTTGCACCTATGCCACAGTTGGATACTTGTCGGAAACGTATTTGATATATTTATTTACTGTTTTGGATTTTATTTTTCATTTCCTTATAAAACTGGCCTTTATAAGCCTATAACTGTTGAGAGTAAAAGTAATAGTTTTATCACACTGTTAAACATCGGTTTATAATAGATAGATACAATGTACTTCAAAATCTCAATTATTTTGCTTCTAACTTGTTTGATGTTTGTCGAATCCACTGTAACACTAAATAATTCAGAAGTGAGTTTTAATAATTTGTTTTGACTAAAACTATTAGTTTAAAATGATTTCCTTCTAACATTAGGTGTACACGGTGTCCCACAGAGACATGAGAAATTTTGATTAGCTTTGGAAATTGTTCTCAATAAAATGGTTATCTTGAAATTTTCAAAAATGTAACGAAAAAAATAAAAAAAAATATTTAAAAAAAATTCAGCAGAATAAAAACTGATTTCATTTGATATGTCTTTGTGGGACACCTGCACAGCAAGTGTTAAACATTATTTGTTTCTTAAATCATTTATTACACACGAAAAATGTGTAATCATTTTTAGCCTCATCACTGTCCGATTTAATATAGGTACTAATATTTTTTATTTTTATTTTAAAAGTCTTTAAGTCTGTTGGGTATAGTTTTGCATAACTCTTGTCTTAGTGATTTCCATTAAACTAAATAATATTTGTGGAGTACACATATCTTCTATTACAATTACAACAGTTTCTAAATTAGTTAAAAAACAAAAGTTTTTTAGATTTGATTTTTTCCAGAATCAGGAAATTATAATACATAGTACATAATAATACATATACAAACTGTTTGATTGTTAATTGCATATTGTTCTCTAGTCTGCAAAAAAATGTTTGTGAATGAAATTTATTAAATAAGTAAAAAAAAACTTTTCAGTTGTTACACCGTTCTTGGGCAAATATCAGGACTAGATCCGCAATGGCAACGCATTTCAACATAAGCGTACAGCAACTTGAAAATTTAGCGGCAACAAATAATATTCCAAACCTAGGTAACCATTAGACATTTTAATTTTTAATTTTATAAAAATTATTTATTGTTGATGCAAAGCTATGACCATTGATTATGTAATAGACATTCATAATCAATGCTATGACTTAGACCTTCCTCTCATATTATCAAGGGAACTCGACTAGAGCTTCCGTTTTTCTATTAGTACTGTTTGAGCAGAGCGATCAACATTGTATGTTATTAATTAATAATAATAATAATTATACTGTTACAATATTTAACGTTTAAGTTAAAATAATTGTGTGTGAGGGTAGATTATACGCCTTTTTATGTAGATACAACGCAACAGGTTTACATAGGTGTATATAGAATTTTTTGAATTTTTTTTAATTAAAAACCTCTAATAAAAGTATATTTGCAAAATATATGCTCTGAACATGTGTGTGAGAATTTTTTATTTCACTATATAAATATTGTACAATATTATTTTTTAATTAAATATATTTTATCCTATTTTAAGTAGTTAGTTGCTAATGATTTTAATTTCATATATATTATAACTTATAACCCACTCGCTTTTCCACCGCATACAATTTTTGGAATAAATCATTTATATATTTACTTTCAAGTATAACTTAAATCATAAAAAATTTGGGAAAAAAGTATAAATTTACATTACAAATTAAATTCAACATATATGTATTAGCGTTGTATGTTATTTGATAAAACAATTATTGATTTAATACACTCGATAACAATATTTTTAAATAATAATTTAAGTATATTACATTGTATTTTCCCGGGTTTTGTTAATTAACAAAACGGTGTAAAATTACTCGTAACTATCATCTGAATAAAAGAAACTAAAATTGTAAAAAATACAATAAAATATAAAAGTTGCTTAAAACGGCCAATTTTTTCTTGAATAAAGTATTAGGATATTCAAAAGTGAGTTAACAAAAAATATCTAATAGAACCAGAAAGAGTTTTTATTTGAATTTTTTACAATATGGTGTATTGTTGTATAGTTTTGTCCCATAACTACTTTTCATTTTTTTGGCGATCTGATATCGTTATCCAAAAAAATTAAGTATATGTTGAAATTTTAAATTAAATTTACTTTTTTGCGATATTTCAGACCATGTATCGTTGGAGCAGTTTAGGACGCTTGCAATACTGGTTGTTCGTAATGGATGGAATACTGTAGAGAATATCTTACAAATGCCAACCCACACATGATCGTGCCCATTCAATAAGCTGACTGCTCCAAAAATATTAACGGTTTGTTATAATTTGAACCTGGACCAAATTGTAATATACAACTCAAAAATATACAACTTAAATATTAAAAAAATACCTTGATTTTTTGTCTCATATGAGAAATACATTTTCTTCTTCTTCTCCTTCACGATCTTCCATATCAACTTCACGCATACCAACAATTCTTATATCATTCTCAATCGCATCAAACCCCTTTTTTCCCTTTCCATCTTTCCTCTTACGTTTATTTTCATCACACTGTATTCTATCAAAGTAACTATCTTAGGACTTAGGCTATTTGTGAGTCGTGAGAAGCACTACTTTGTTCATAAAGTGTGTACATAGTTTCTCATAAATCGTCCAATAATAATAGTTGTCAATAAAAAAACCTATTTTACCATCAAGTTATTATAATGCAGTTAGATTAGATTAGCAACACTGTTATCTATTATCAGTTAAGTTAAGTTAGACTAGCTAGACTGATATTGAACTTGCCTTAAGTATTATTCTTATAAAGAATATCAATCATTATATACTATCTACAGACGCAGATGACAGTGTTATCGACGGGCGTCAATATTATTGTTAAACAGGAATGCTACTGTTTTAAACACCGAACAAATACAAATTTAAATATTTATAGTCATCGTAAGCGAATAAGTTGTTGAAAATTAAAAATTTAAAAGCTAAAGTTGTTTTGAAATTAAAAAAAAAAAACGGAGTCCATACTTATTTCACGTACAAGGGACGAAGGTAAACATTTTTTAAGTTTTGAAAAATATACGTAAATATATGTACCTACGAATATAGAAAAAATATAATTTCCAAAATATTCATATTTTCCAAAGAAATGAGTGTCTTACATCAAATGAATCGCCCTTTATAAATCTGGGTACTGTGAATATGTTATTAACATTGTTTTATTATTTATTTTCTACACTAACAATTTTTGAATAATATTATAATATTGAACATAGTTGATTTCGAGTATTTGCTGTATTTTTATATTGAAAAACCACTGTTTGAAATAATATGTCATCGCCAATTTAAACAAAAAACAAATCAATACAACACGATAAAACGCATACACTTTCTACATAATATACTACCATGTATGTTTGCTACAGAAACAAATATGTAGGTCTTACGATTTATTTAAAAGGAATATTCTAGTATTATATTTCCCCGTTCTTACGTTTGTTATTAGTCCCCAATAGTCGGGATAAAGGCAAACGAAAAGAAGGTGTAATTTTTAATTAAGAATAAATGAGTCGTTGACTGCAGAAAGGGGACAAAAGTCATTTTTTATGGGTCACCTCTAAAAATCCCCGGTGGTCACCCATCCAGGATCAAACATCAACGGACACAGCTTAACTTGAAGTGCTGCGTGACAGTTCGAGATGTCCACAGTGCCACAACAAGTCCCTAAAATACTATAAAATTATGTTTTCACATTAATTGACACCGTTTTAATTCTTGCTGTCACTTCAACGACGCTTTATCGTGCTAACGTACTTACTCTATTCTGGTTCATAATATACAGGGTGCCATGGAAAGTTCTACCGAGCTTCAAATGAGACATTTATGGTGCTCTATGGGCACAATAAATGGTATTTATTTTTTTAAAATGTTAAAATTATTTAAAATAGCCCGTATCTCATTAAAAAATGTTCTAACAAAAAAAAAATTTGCAGATTTGAAATCAAAAGAAAAAATCTTGTTGAACTGATATGTAGCATGATTTTTTGGTATCTGGTCACACATGCGTCCACAGGTTGGTCACTGAGCAGCCGGCATGTGATCAAAATCAACATATGGCACGCGACACATCATTTTGGGTTAAAATTTTATTCTCAATTCAGTGGTGGTATTAGAATTATTTTATATTCAATATTTAAGAAATTAGTATCAATTTTTTGGTAAAAATGTAATATTTATATAATAGGTTTGTTTCTAATTATTCTCTAGTGTCTAGTCTACTATGAAGAATTATTTTTTTTTAATTTTCAAGGCATCTCGAATTTGAAATTCAAACAACTTGAAATGATACCTTCTTAAAACATTTGTAATGTCAAATTATGTACATGCTTTTTAAATATAAAGATAAAATAGTTGTTTATTTATTTTGTAGGTTAATCAACCCTTGACAACCCTTACTGGCAAGTTACAAAAAAAAAAAAGTTCGCCAACCTTAGAGCCGAGCCTTGGTCGTTGGCGGAACTTCTAAGGATTTTTTATGTATACAAAAATAAAACATATTGTCTTAATTATAAAGAAGATGGTTTTTTATTAAGTTCATTTAAAGTAATATACTTGATATTGTAAATGCTTATTTAGGTGCCGGAAAAGCCAAAGTGCTAAAAAACCGGTCTACAAAATATAAGCGTCATTAATTAATACTGCGTGTGTAAGGGAATCACATTTCTGCGAACCTCCCAGACATCACTCGCAAAGCTCTTAAATGTATGTACGGCGCACAGTGGTCGAGAGTGAATTCTAGGCGCTCAAAAGTCTTATTAATAAATATGCAAAAAATATCAAAGCAATTATGAATTATTAATTTTAATATGTTTCTTAGACATAACATAAAATTTCAAGGTCATATGTGTACCTGGACGTTTTTTATTACTATTTAAAGTTCAGTTTTTATAGTTTAGCGGTTATTTTGATTTAAAAAAATAATATTTCATTTACAATTTTTTTACCCTTTGATATTTTTAAACATTTTTTTATTTAACTAGTAGATAACCTAAGGAAAAAAATATATTTTTTAAAAAATTATTTTTTTCAATTTAGTTATGATAATTTTGAATGAAAAATATCAGATGTTTTACATGTTTTTTTCTTTTAAGAGAGTAGTACTTAAATTTGCCAATTTTTACCCACATAGCAATACATAGGTGTTGTAGAACAAGTATTCAAGTTTATAAAAATATTAATTTTTATTGCGGCAGACAAAAATTAGTTAGTACACAAGGCAAATAAAATAGTACTATTTTATTGTACTCGTACATACCCAAATCTATTACTATGCTGTTTGGAAAGTAAGTACAAGTTAATTTATATGTCTAATGTAATATACAGTGTGATCAATTTAACGTGACACTAATTTTTCAAAAAATAAAAAAAATGCTAAAAAAGATAAAAATAATTATTCTTTTATATTGTAATATAATATCAACAAAAATGTTTCAAAAATAATAATTATAAAAAATATAATAACTTTGTTGTATTTTATAATAACATAAATGAAAATTTCTTAAATAGAAAAATTACAAATTTGCAATTATTATTAACGTTTATACTACAAGGAAGTAAAAACCAACTAATAAGTAGATAAAATGTTGACAGCTTTGAAGCATTATACCTATTCCGTAACAAATTAAATGTCAAACAGCATATTACAATATAAAAGAATAATTATTTTTATCTTTTTTAGCATTTTTTTTATTTTTTGAAAAATTAGTGTCTAAGAAACATATTAAAATTAATAATTCATAATTGTTTTGATATTTTTTGCATATTTATTAATAAGACTTTTGAGCGCCTAGAATTCACTCTCGACCACTGTGCGCCGTACATACATTTAAGAGCTTTGCGAGTGATGTCTGGGAGGTTCGCAGAAATGTGATTCCCTTACACACGCAGTATTAATTAATGACGCTTATATTTTGTAGACCGGTTTTTTAGCACTTTGGCTTTTCCGGCACCTAAATAAGCATTTACAATATCAAGTATATTACTTTAAATGAACTTAATAAAAAACCATCTTCTTTATAATTAAGACAATATGTTTTATTTTTGTATACATAAAAAATCCTTAGAAGTTCCGCCAACGACCAAGGCTCGGCTCTAAGGTTGGCGAACTTTTTTTTTTTTGTAACTTGCCAGTAAGGGTTGTCAAGGGTTGATTAACCTACAAAATAAATAAACAACTATTTTATCTTTATATTTAAAAAGCATGTACATAATTTGACAGTTTGAAAATCGTTTAAAGCCATTACAGAAACTAACACAACACTTATGTAAAAACGATATGTAGGTTCTTACAAAAAGAAAATAAATTATTGTCTATTGAACGCAAAACCAGTGTACTACTACTCACGCACAGTTGCTTTCAAGCAACAAATATATTTAACCTTATAAAAATAATACAATCTATCATAAACCTATACAAAACACAAAATAATGTTTAATAATTTATGATCTAACAAAAAATAATTTTTATTTTGTTGATTTTAACAGTTAAACCGGCAAAATGATAGTAGGAAAACGCGCGCATTGAGTGTGATAACCTCTTGCTGATACATGGATTTAAAACAGCTGTGCAAAATATCGTTGGTAACCAAACAAATCGTAAAATGTTGTGGCGGCCCCACATACAGCACTGTAGCGGATGTATGGCCACGAGGCGCCACAGCTAGCGCAACCTAGCTGTCGGCATCGATACCGCCTCAACACATGGTCAGATCGCCAGATCTCGGTAGTTGTGACGAACCGTAGCGAACTTCTCGCATGTGATCAAAGTCACCCAGAGCGCACATATAAATACGCACACGACAACTACCGACTCAATGTCTTCGGACACCGGCCGAGCAACCTTTCGCCTGCATCCGCCACAATGTGTTTACCGACTTTAATAGTACATATGTTATTCCCATAGATGTCGTTGGTGCCACTATGTACATAATTTAAACGTTTTATAACCGTATTTTTAAATTGTTGCTCAGAAGCAACACGGCGCATTGAAGGGTTAATACAATATTTTGCCACAATTTGTATTGTTAAAAATTGCACGGTTATTATGCAAACATGTTGTTAGCAAAGTTAACATGTTGTTTTTTTACAACGACTGTTGTGATGTAAATATATCACAATATCTCTAAAGATCGTATACTTATAATTTTTAACGACTTAAGAACATAATTTGCATAATTTTGGCTCTAAAAAAGAAAAATATCATAACGATATTTATAAAATACCCTTTTTGAAAATACCTTTTTATGAATTATATACAGTAAATATAATATGAATAAATGGAAGTTACTACTGTGTTAATAGATATTTGCAAC